TATTACACAAAAAATTTTACCAAATGAATTTATTTACGTAATTTAAGTAAAAAAATAAATTTTTTCATTAATTAATTTTTTTATATTAATTAAAATTTAATTGATGGATAAAAGGATTGAATTTTAAATTTTAAAAATAAAAAAAAAAGATATTTTCATAAAAAAACTAAAAATGGATTCTTTTTCTCAAGTGATAAAAAAGATATTTACCTTTTTTTAAAAGTTTTTTGTTTGAAAAGGCAGAGTATATAATCTTATGTATGTTTCTTCAAGGTTTAAGTACCATTTTAGTCCCTCAACTTATCACTTTGGTATCAAAATTGTCCCTCAACTTTAAAAAGTACCAAAATTATCCTTAAACTTTCATTTTTAGTACCAAAATGGTCCTTCCGTCAGTTAAATAACAGATGACACGTTAAAATGCCACAAAATCATTGACTTTTTTAAATTTTAATTACGTGTAAATCCAACAAAGAAAATTTTTTATACACATGACATATTTTTTACCCATCATATTATCACCTTTTTAACTTTTCCTTTTAATGGGGCCCATGTAACAATTTTTCAACTTTTCTTATTCTTTCTCTGATCTCTTTTCTGTTCTTCTTCCTCTCCATCAAAACCCAGATCTGCTCTCCTTTCTCTTTCTTCTCTAGAATCTTTCAGTCTTTGCTTTCGTCTTCCCCAGATCTAACCTTTTTGTGCTCGGCAGCCCTTGGGCTTGCCGGATTTTTTATGCTTGAGCTGCCGAGATCTCCAGTTGCTCAAGCATGATGGGGCCGATTTCGTGCTCCCAGTTCTGATTACCCTTCTGGTGGTCTTTTTTTCCTTTTTTTCTTTTTTCTGTTTTATCTGGTTGTTTTGCTTGTTTGTTATCAGATCCGGTGGCTACCAGCCATTACATAGATCTCCAAAGGTGGTCGTCGGATTCACAGATCTGGTGGCCATGGAGCCTCTCACGGGAGATGGTCACCGCCTGATGGGATCTCCCCGGCCTGGTGTCCTTGTTTCAAGAATCGCTGTGGTTTTGCTACGATGAATTCGTCATGAGCGGTGAATTTGAAGATCGACTCCGAGACGAACCTTCCTTCTTCGACAGCTTCCACTTCTCGTCGAAATAGAAGTTCGGCTGTGCGGTCGCAGTTGTAGCCAGCACGGTAGCCATGGAATTGATTCTCAAGGAAAAAAACGGAAAACAGACTTGAAGCAAAGAGAGAAAAACCTGAACAGAACAGAACAGAACAAAGGGGTATTGAGTTGTTGAGCTGAATTCACTGAAGAAGCTGGAGAGTGAGGGTGGGTTTGGTGTAATATTTGATTTAATTTTGCAGGAATAGTAGTAGGTTTAGGGTTTTGAATTTGAAAAGGAAATGAAAAGAGAAACGAAGATAACTTGTGATTTTTGGGGAACTTGATTGAAACTGGAAAAAGAGAGAACAAAATTTTCATGTGGGCCCCACTAAAAAAAGAAACTGAGAAGATGACAATTTGACTTGTGTAAAGAAATGACACAGTGTAAAAAATGTCGTTGCTGGATTTATACGTCATTAAAAATAAAAAAAAGCCGGTGATTTTGTGGCATTTTAACGAGTCACCTAGCATTTAACTGACGGAATGATCATTTCGGTACCAAAAAATGAAAGTTCAAGGATAATTTTGGTACTTTTTAAAGTTAAAGGACAATTTTGGTACCAAAGTAATAAGTTGAGGGATTAAAATGGTACTTAAACCTTTCTTCAACCAAGTTTAGAGTTTTTTTTTGTTTTTTTCCTTTATATTATGATTTGAAATTATCACATTTAATTATAATTGATTTTATTATCATTTAAATTATAATAAATTTATCATTTATTTTTATCTTATTAAATTATTATTAATTATCCATAATAATTAAAATAATATTTAATGTTATTTAAATTTCTACTTCTGTTAAATTATATATGAATGGTACATAATAATGTGATTTATATTTATAAATTTGCTATTTTCACAAATTATATTACCACTTTTACAACTTTCATTGAATCTCACTAATTTTACCATCCATCCCATCCATCTGTTCTGAATTGAACCTTTCAGAGAATCTCATTGACTCTAAATTGCACCGCTTATTGCAATTTTAAGAGAATCTCATTGACTGTGCCAATCCATCAATCGGGTATGCAGCGAACAAGTTATTGGAACTTTCAGCAACTTATTGCATGTTGCTGAAAGTCTTGTATTGAAACTTCAGCAACTTATTGCATGTTGCTGCAAGTCTTGTAAGCACGTGAATGTTGAAATAAGTAAGGTAAAATAATTATGATGATATATGAATGTCATTAAATGATTTTTAAACATATATTACACAAAATTTTACCAAATGAGTTTATTTACATAATTTAAGTAAAAAAATAAGTTTTTTCATTAGTTAATCTTTTACATTAATTAAAATTTAATTGATGGATACAAAAGGGTTGAATTTTAAATTTTAAGGATAAAAAAAAGATATTTTCAATAAAAAAAAACTAAAAATGGATTTTTTTTCTCAAGTGATAAAAAAGATATTTAACTTTTTTTTTTTT